ATAGTGAATTTACATGAGATTATATATTTATAGAGGTAGGCTTAAATCGATTTGCTAATCCTGACAAGTATAGACCCATTAAATCAGTGTGATTTATATATGTTTAGCTCATACATGATTCATGAAGAGATCAACCCCTCAAATAAGAAATAATTCATAGTATTTGCCCTGTTTTAAGGACTTCAGAAATTAGAGTACAAGGGACTGGATGGTGGACATGTCATACCATCACAATTGTTTATTTGGTCTTAAAATTTAATTTAGACATTTACATTTTTAGAGAAAAGTTAATTTTCTACAGAAATCACATCCCACATCAATCAATGTTTTAATGGGATGATGTTGGCTATCACATCCACTGAGCATTTTGCCCAATCTTGAGAACATTTAATTAAGCAAATACAGCTCTCACAATTAGGTTCTGCTATCACAGAATCTCCTTGAAGCAGATGGTACTTTAGCAAAGATAAACCTCAAACGATTCAAAAAGGAAAAAAAGAGTGATCAAGCTCCATGGTTTGAATCAATTAAAAATAAACAAATCACACTCCTTCTTAAGAATTTATTTTAAATTAAAAATGAGAAGAAAAAGTTTTTCCTGGAACAAGAAGTTAATAAAAATGGAATTTACCTTAAGAAATGCAAAACAAATTTAAGCTGAAGGTTGATTCTTGTGCCCTTATAAGGATTTCTTTAGGCCACCAGGGAGACACATATCAAACCCCTATTTGGGAACCAATTATATAAGTAGTCTTTGACTGGCATTTCCTAAGCAATCCTGTTGCTTTTTAATAATAATAAAACCCCTCCCTCCACCCTATTTGGGAACCAATTATCTAAGTAGTCTTTGACTGGCATTTACCAAGCAATCCTGTTGCTTTTTAGTGAAAAGCATGAAACTGGATAGTACTTTTTTAGTGAAAAGCATGAAACTGGATAGTGTGACTGGATGAGTTTCATCTTCTCCCATGCTCAGATTTCTTAAACCTGATTTTCCTTCTGTCCCACATATGAAAAAAGCTGCAAGTTTTACTAAAATTGTTCCGAACCAAGTTGGAACCAAATCCTCCCCCATGTACGCTGGCTAAATTCAATAGATATACCTGCTTTCATCAAGGGAAGAACCATATTATGTTTAGCTGCCATACAGATATTAAAGATGAAGAACATCTCTCAAAACAAAGGTGGTAATTCTGGACATTCAAGAGTTAGACACTCAAAGTCTTGGATTAGGACTGATGAATCTGTTAACCTAGTTCCTCACAGGTTGCTAATTTTTAAAACGCAAATTCTTTCCATCCCAAATAAAAACCAATTTATAAAATTTGATATATACAGGTATATTTTAAAAATAAACATGATCCAAAGTGCCATTCTCACCAGCCTTAACACTCACAGGAGACTTTCTCACCCAGCCTACAAGTTCTCACCCATCATACTCTCCAAATTACATGAAGTACTAGTTCCCCTCTTATTTGGCACTGGTTAGGCCTTATCTAGAGTATTGTCTCCAGTTCTGGATACCACAGTTTAAGAAGGATGTTGACAAACTGGAAGAAGTTCAGAGGAAGGCAACAAGGAAGATCAGGGGGCTGGAAACCAAGCCCTGTGAGGAAAGATGGAAAGAACTGGGCATGTTCAGCCTTGAGAAAAGAAGACAGAGGGGAGAAATGATAGCACTCTTCAAATATTTGAAAAGCTGTTATACAGAGGAGGGGCAGGATCTGTTCCCTATCATTCCAGAGTGCAGGACATGTAATAATGGGCTCATTTTACAGTAAGTCAGATTTCAGTTGAACATCCTGGAACCCATTATCTCGGGAGGTGGTGAGTGCTCCAACATTGGAGGCATTCAAGAGAAAGGTAGACAGCCACCTGTCAGATATACTTTAATTTGGATTATTGCATTGAGCAGAGGTTTGGACTCAATGACTTTAAGGGTCCCTTCCAACTCTATGATTCTATGATCTGATCTCTCACACTTTAAGGCAAGACTTCCCCAAGTGCCCATTGGACATGCTAGCTCAGGCCCATGGGAGGTTTAATCCAAAAGGCATCACCATGTCTCCAGTGACTGGAGCATCTGGAGTACAGGTCAGTAGACTGGACACCATCCCTCTTGTCTGTCTTTGAGCCTTATGGATGGCTGCCCAAGTTTGAGTGAGTGGAGTATATAGGTGAGATCACCTATTGCGAGCTGTTAAAATCCTACTGGCAACCCTGCTTGCTGTTTCTGGCACTTTGTACTTTGAAGAGGGCTGGATTGTGGTTGTCTTTTATTGTGTAAGTGTTTTATAAAAGCCTTGCATATTCTGTCTCAGGCTTATGCAATATTGATTTAAAATATTGATTGAATATTGTTTGATAAAAATTATCAATTTTGCTGATTAAATGCTATAAGGTGAGCATTAATTAAATGACTGTTCTTGTAATAATTTTGAATAAGGCGTTTGTTAAGGTTTGGCCCTGTGCATTTGCCACTTTTGGACATTTTACAGCTTGAATGAGCATGGAAAGCCCTTAACACGATACAGTGGTGCCTTGCTTAACGAGTGCCCTTTGTTGTCATTAATGCCCTTTGAGAGGAACAACTAGCACTTCCTTCAACTCCCTGTTGTCGGTTATTTAATGCATTATTGCAATGTTTTGCTCATGTGTATTTTTTTTGTATGTCTTTCTTCTCATAAACCATATTTGGCACATAGAAAACTGACATATAAATTGGTACTGGTGATGCAAACTGGAACGATAGCTTTGTCTGCCTGATAGGTTCTATGAAAATGTGACCTGGGACAGGTCAAGCACTCTGCCACTGACAATGCATTTCCAAGTTTTTCATGAATAAGGCATAGCACGGAATACATTCCATATCCTTGTTGCTTGAATAAGGCATTTGTTAAGGTTTGGCCCTGCACATTTGCCACTTTTGGACACTTTACAGCTTGAATGAGTGTGGAAAGCCCTTAACACGATACAGTAGTTCTATTCTGTCACAACATCCTTTGTTGTCATTAATGCCCTTTGAGAGGAACAACTAGCACTTCCTTCAACTCCCTGTTGTCGGTTATTTCATGAGGAGAGCAGACTTTCAATACAGGTCAAACTCCTGATCACACATGGGCTCTGCGTACAACCAAAAACCCTGGAAGATCTGGGTTCCTGATCACACACAGAGGCTACATGCAATCAGACATGTCTCCTCTTCAGACATCTTGCTGTCCGTGCAGAGAAAGTGATGACAGAAAAGGAAGGATTTGGTTGCTCCTTTCAAAATGTCTGGATTACAGCCAAGGAGGGAATAGCTGAATAGGGCTAAAGTGTCTGTTGTTGTTAATTGGTAACACTAACTTTAGGAACTACAGTGTCCCTGTTGATCCCTCTCTCTTTTTTCATGCCACCCACCAAATAAATATATACACACTGTGTTGAGCACAAATATTGAGCTGCTTTGCACAAGCTTATTCCTACCAAGAATACATAAAAAGAAAGGAGTTATACAATGGACTGCGGTACATCGAAGAAAAGAAGCCACACAGAATAGATGACTGTGAGATTGTTGGAAGTGGCTGTTTATTTCCATAAAGCTTGCTTGGTTGTAGCATCTGACTGAGGAATTAAGCTTGTTAAAACAACAACAACAGAGGCTGTTTCCCAAATAACAAAATCTGTAAACAGGAAAGAAAGCCAATAATCTAACATCATCTACTCAGCAGTCTCTAGATCAACGAGATGGAGCTACTCATGTAACACAAAAATTATTTAGGGAGAAAATAATGATATTGTTCAGTGTTATATATTTTTTAAAAAGAAATCTCCTCAACACCCCCCCCTCCACCTTTTCTGTTCATAGTTGGACCTGATTTATCTGAGAGGGGCATTGTCTGCTTTTAATCAGAGCTCAAGAAAAGTTAACATTTGAATATAATTCCCCAAATCTCCCTGGCCATGGTAGCTTGAGAGTTTTAGTCCAAAAACAAATAAGGAAACAAAACAAAAACCTTCCCAAAGTTCTGGCTTTTCATATTCCTGAGGCTTTTTCATCAAACAAAATGGGTTCAGTCAGGTATTCTCAGCAACAAAGGCTGAACTGGTACAAACTGGTGTCTGATAGCCCTGTTCTCATCTCTTGTGCAACATGAACACAGGTATGTGATTTATAAAAACCACCAGACCGAAGTCAAATTATGATTAAGGGAACTACAATAGAGGGCTCCCACCTGTGAGCTAGCAATCCTAAGCAGCAGGGCTGGCCCAAGATACGTTGCTACCTGAGGGGAAAGACAAGATGATGTTACGGGAAGCTAATCTCACCTCAGTACTCACAGTATCTTCCAATACAAGGGAGAAGTCAGGAGTTGTATCATATCATATATGATAGCTGGCTGGACGGGAAGCTAACCTCACCTCAGTACTCACGGTATCTTCCAATACAAGGGAGAAGTCAGGATTAGTTAGAAAGCCTGAGAAGAGTTGTGTGTCAGAGGGGAAGATCTGTGGAGAAACCGGCAGGGGGCTCTGCCACTGTTTTCACCACCACCTAGGGGTGATCACCTCACTTGGCCTAACGGCAGGACCAGGCCTGCAATTCAGCTTTCAGTTCAGGGTTGCTTCGTAGCAATGCCTTTCAGCTGCAGTGGTGCTTTTAACCACAGTTTGACACACTGGAGTTAGTTGGCGAGCCTAGTCACAGTCCACAGAGAAATTTTGCCATGGCCACAGGCTGGCAATTTTTCAACACCCTCAACATCGAATGAGGCGTTTGATTCAACAAACTGCCACCACTGATCAAGCAATCCAGAAGCCTTCATGCAAAATTATTTCCAATGAAGTCCATTCAGCTGTTCAGCTGCCAGGTCTCAAGTAACCTATAGATGTATGTGCAAATCTGAGGTTAGATTAAAGCAGGGTACGGCTCAGAGAAACCGGTGTAATTCAATCTAGTAACAGTCTAGTAGCGAATCAAATACTGTAGTACTTTATCCAGTCTTTCAATTTTCTACCTGGTCTCCTGTATACTTGCTGTTGTTCCACAGTCTCTGTTCCCGAGCTCCTGTCCTCAGCATGTAGGTATGTACTACAGGTGTCCTGATAACCTGCCAGCCGGACCGAATGGGTCTTGGTAGTCAGAGAAGGAGAGCATAAAAGGAGAGAGAGAACAACAGGCTGGTTTTTATGACTAATCTAACAAACCAGAGGGTTCAATGCACCTGGACAAGCCCAGCCTCTTAGTGAATCACAGGCTGCGGCAAATACCTTCCCACTCCTGCCTTGCATGGCTGGCCCAGTAAAGGTTGAACAAACCAGAGATCAGAATGAGGAAGTGCTTGCTATTGTTTACAAGGAAGTCTAAACTTGGCTGGCGCCCAGCGAGAACATTTGAAGGAGCAGACAAAGCGGGATGTTCTGATCATGATTTTCTCACATTGTATTAATTCTCTGTTCTGTGAATGGTCTTTCCTCAGTTTGGCTCCTGGGTTTTTTTGTGGGGTTTTTTTTTAGTGAGAAGTGCCAGAATTGCCAGTTCAACAGTGGAGTCTTCAGAGCCAAAGTTGGGTCTTTGTAATGTCACAGAGATGGGTCAGCAGGGAGGCAGATAGGGCACAACCGTTTCTCACATACAAAAAAACAAAAAGGTCTAACTTTCTTCTCTTCCAGGGCTTCTTGTCCTGTGGCTGAGTTACTCTCCTGCATACCTAAAAAAAAACAAAAAAACCCAAAAAAACACAAAAAAAACATAGCCAATTCTTTGAGATTTGAGCCACCTTTCTGAGTCCTGACCATAACTGCTCCCTGTTTTCTTTAAAAAAGATCATGTACCACAGCAACCGAAACAAAACATAAAACAAAGTCTTATTAGCTTTAATATCTGTCTATTGGGTTATGTTATCTGTTTTAACCACCTTTAAAACCAACAGAGGTATCAGTATGAGTTTTCATGGACTACAGTCCACTTCCTCTAATGCTTTTGTTAGTCTTGGTGGTAGCACAAGACATTATTTTTGTTGGTTTGTTTGTTTTATTTTGTCCTGATGATACTTGCTGAGATGGACTACCTCTTTCAAAACTGGAGTAGAAGAGAAATACAATGCGTAAGCCCCACAGCAAGAACATGCATTTCACAATGCCCTTTGGTTTTCTTTGATAAGTACACTATAAAGTGTAAACAAGAGACAACACGTTACTCTATCAACCACCTTGCTAATACGTCAGAGACAGGAAAGGAAAGATATTTCAGGTGATTAAAAAATAAAAGTCAAATTAGCATTGGGGGTATAGCACTTTACTGACTAATTCAGGATTTGATAAAGCGCATTTTGCTCCCAGTTATTGGACTGCAACTCCTACAAGCTCTAACCAGTATAGTCTTAATGGTTAGGCATGCTGGGAATTGCAGTCCAATGTCTGGAGGGTCTCACTTTGTTCACCCCTGCTCTAGTTCAGATAAGAAATGTTCTAGCATCACAAAAGTATTTGTTTTAAACCCACTCTTTTGTTTCATGCTCCATTAATGACTGGCTAAACTGGTGGTAACTGGAAAGAGCTTTTTCCCTTCATGTAAAAATGGGTAGGCCAAAATTGCTCACTCTGTGCACACAATCGTCCTTCAAGTCACGACTTTTTCTGCATTTGTGCACAAGCATAAGCCCTTCTAGATGAAAGTGAATGATTTCCAGTTTGTACGGCAGCAAGCGGGAGGTCTTGTGGAGTGCTGTTCCAATCAACAGTTACGCAAACAGGATACTGGCCATAATGTATTGTTTTATGAAGGTATAGTATCATAATCCTCTTTCTTTTAAATAGTATGTAAGATAAGATCCTGTCTGTTTCTTCTTGGCTACCACTGAATCTTAATCTCTCTCCTTTGATTTTGTTGCATTTTCTTCTTGGAAAAATGGAACAGGATACAACAGATGTTAGAGACACACATTCCTATGTACGTGCACTTTGACAAACATTTGAACCTATTTACTCAACAAAATTTTAGGGTGGGTCTGGGGGTAAGAGTTGTGCAATCTAGTGAGAATTTACAGAAGAACATAAAAAGAGCCTTGCTGGATCAGGCCAAGGGCCTATATAATCCAGCTTCCTGCATCTCACAGTGGTCCCACCAGAGGCCTCTGGGAGTGCAGGAGACCACTAGAGACCTGTCTCCTGATACCCCTTCCCTGCATCTGGCATTTGGAGATCCCTTCCTTCTAAGCCTGAAGATTGTACAGCCCCCATCATGGCTTGTAACCTGCGATGGACTTTTCCTCCAGGAATCTGTCCAATCCCCTTTTAAAGCCATCTTGGTTGGTTGCCATCACCACATCCTGTATCAAGAAGTTCCACAGACTAACAACACGCTGGGTGAAGAAATATTTTCTTTTCTCACTCTCCCAACACTCAATATTTTCTGAAATTCTCCCCCTCATTGTTCCCATGGTCTCAATGGCATTTCCAAACACAGTATGCAAAACACAGCAGAGAACTTGAAGGCTGATACCAGTTGGCATCAATGCTAGAAAATGTAGTTATGGTGAGAAAGGGTCCAGGTTTAAATAAGCACAGAATGTTCTTCTATCTCCAGGGAAATATCCTTGCTCTTAGTTTGTTTAGCTGCTGGTAATTACTGGCTCACGCAATAACAAATGGACTCAGTGCTGTGGGGCTCTGCCTGTCCACAAATGCAGGGGAGTGTGTCCATTCAAGGAGAAAATAATTATGATTTCCTACCTCAGCTCAGAGTAAGTTTCCTATGCGGAGCCTGGAGCTTTTCTCTTCCTCACTAATAAGAAGAGAACTCCCATTGATTTCATCAGCATTTTCTTCAAACATTAAATCACAAGCCTCGTTTGTCTTGCTGCCCACGGGATCCAAACCGAGAAAATGAGACACTGGGGGTGGGTGGGGTGTGCTTAAATTTTTTTTTGGGGGGGCAGCTAATTCACCATGCATGGCATCTCCCGAACCAGATGATTTGAGAAAGGAAACGCTCATGAAGACAGATTTGCTGCCTGAATTCAGTGTTTTTCCGGCTCTGCTTGCTGCAAGCCCACTCTCTTGTGGAACTTACCCCCCTTCCATTGCTGGGGGGGGGGTCTACTGAGCCAGAGTTTACACAGGGGTTCTCACAGCACTGAGGATTCCTCTGCTCTCACTGCTGTCGCTCCCCACACGCTTCCATTATACAGGACTTAAATATGTCACCCTGCTCTCCACATGTTAATCTGCCCATCCAGGCTTAAACCTATTTTGAAGGAGTCTTAAGGCCACTATGAAGATCTCTGGCAGTCACCTACAACCATCACACAAAGGTTTGTCCGCAATCCTTAACAGCCACAAAGTGATCTCACGCTGCAGCTTTTGCATTTCCCTTATGTTTCACATTGCTACCTTCCCTATTACTGCATTGATGTCTGTCTACTGAGGTTGCACTTTTTGTATCTGAAGAAGTGGGCCCCAGTCCATGGAAGTCCTTGCCAAATAAAACCAATTCATCCTTGTGATATCACAAGACACCTTATTTGAGCTTGCTTAGAATCTTTGGGTGGAAATTCCCAAGAGCTTGGAAATATTAATATTATTGTTATTATGACTGCTATTGTTACTATATGTATTATTAGATCACAAATTATCACAATCTCCTAGCCTGTGACTGAAGGAGTCCAGGAATTATAGTTCAAAATATTAGTTTTTCCGAGCTCTGGAAATTACCCTTCTGCTTTAGAACAAGCTAAGGTGCTGAAAAAGTGAACAATGATCATGAATTGAGAGTAGAAGGAACCACTGCTTGCTGTTCCTTGTACGAGAGCCTGTCTACATTTCTCAAAATACCCACAATATGTAGCATTTTATTTTAGATTACTCAAGTCTCATGGTTTTTTAGTTGTTTCCTGCATTCCAACTGAATAATTGAAATGTTCCCTTTTAAAACAGTCTCTAAGGTTCAAAATGGGCTAAAGTCAGTTAAGAAGACAGCACGCTAAAGAAAATGGCCCTCTGGGGCCATTAACCATACATGACTATGATGTGTACCATAATACATGTTGATCATTATTTTAGATTATGGAAGAAATAAAATGTTGGTCTTCTTTTCTTTTCTTTGCAATATGTTATCTGCTAAATCTTTTTGGTCTACTTTTTCATCTCTGAGTGGTAGTGCCTTCCTTCTTTTTGCTTTGATTAGTTATAATAATTTTAGCACCTGATGACATTTTCCAGCAATTCCCTGCCTTTCTTTTCACACATTTCCATTTATAATTATCTAAATTACTGTAGCACAGAGACAAGTTCATTCCCTGCTAATCCCAATTGTCTATGAGGGCTGATATTTAAATAACATTACAGGGCCAATAAATAAAATTTTCTTTAAAACAACAACAACAAAATAATCCTCAGCTTGACATCTCCAGCGTCCTTTTATGGCGGTACGGATTGTCAGTATGGATTGACTATATTTCTAAACTGTGCCGTTTAGTGGCAAGCCACTACTGTGGGTGGTTTTTCTTATCTGGGCAGCAGGAGCTTCTCAAATTAACAGCACATATTAATTAAAATTTGGAATTCTATCTCTCCATCCTTTGGAATATGACATTCATAAGAGTTTGGAAAGACAGAGAGAAGATGAGAAATAGTTGTAGGCACATTAGAGCCTAGATTCAAGCTGAATATTTAGGAATTAAGTCATAGTGCCATTTTTTGAAATTTTGTGTGCATAGAGTGTTAAAATAAATAAGAGGACAATGGCAACATGGATTTTCTTTCATAGATTCAACCTGCCTTGGCTGGATGGGTACTAAGAATAATTTTCATAAAAGGCAAAAATAGTATATTTTACTTTTATAATTTTAAAAACATTTGTATTTTAGAGGTGTATTCTCTGATATTTGCCTGCTCCATTTTGGGCTGTCATGCTCTTGCATTTTTAGAATGTAACTGAAACATTCTGACTGTTCTTCATAAAGCATATTTCTATAGTATTTTGGATTGAATTCTGACCCTTCTCTTTAGGTAGGCTTTTCCTTATTGATTGGTGGTCTGAGAGAGTTTTTAAATTGGCTGTTGTGCTCTGTTAAAGCGGTTGTTTAAATGTGCTTTAGTACTCATCTTACTTATTGTTTTAATATAATACAGTACTTGTTTAATTCTTTCTTAAACAGTTAAATATTTGTATACTTACTATTTAAGCCTTTAAA